TCTGGATGGAATCTAAGAGCATCAGCGTATGTTTTGGTGCTGAACCCCATATGTGGGAACAGTATTCTAGACCAGGCCGTATCTGCGCTTTGTAGATCATGAGAAGCTGTTGAGGTGTAAAGTAGCTTTTCGCACGGAACAAGAATCCGAGTTTTTGCGATGGATCTGACATGATTATCCCATGAAAGAGTGTTGCTGATGGAAATATCGAGCATAGATATAGTGGGCTTGATGGAGATGGTGGTGCCAGACATTACAATGTCGGTAATACTGAGTTCCGCCTTTCTAGAGAAAATACAGACTTGAGTTTTGGTGGCGTTGAATTCAACTAGGTTGTTGGTTCCCCAGGCTGTGATTTCAGCAAGGTCTTCATTGACAGCATTGACCTGCCTGCGCCGTGAGTTCTTAGTTTCCTGGGAAGAAATGGGAATTCTGGATGAGAAAGCAGTATGGAGGGTACTATCATGTGCGGAGCTGTGGATGGGGCAAGTTGTTACTCCCAACAGATCATTGGTATGAAGAAGGAATAATGTTGGTGCCAAAATTGATCCTTGTGGAACGCCGGAATTGATGCCAATGGTATCAGACGATACACCGTCCACCACCACATGAAGCGATCTGCCTGAAAGCAAACTCGATAAGAGATGGCATAGCTGATGTGGTAAGCCGTATGATGGTAGTTTGTGGAGGAGTCCTTCGTGCCAAACACGGTCAAATGCTTTCGATATGTCCAACGCGACAGCTAGAGATTCCCCGTGTTTTTCTAATGAAGCTTGCCATGAATGGGTGACGTAGGCAAGTAGATCTCCAGTAGATCTTCGGTGGCGAAAGCCGTGTTGTCTATCATTGATGATTCCTGAGCTCTCCAGATATTTGATAAGCTCAATGTTGATGGCTTCCTCCATCACTTTGGAGATTACTGATAACAGGGCAATGGGCCTGTAGTTGTTGGGCAGGTTCTTGTTCCCTTTTTTGGGGATTGGTTAGACTCTAGCTGTCTTCCAGCATGATGGAAAAATACCCGACCTGTACGAGACGGTAAACAACTAGCAGCGAATCGGTGTCAATTCTGGTGCACATTTTTTGAGGATAATGGGTGGAAATCCATCAGGACCGTTAGCCTTATTCGTTTTGAGACCAAGCAAAATTCGTCTGATAGTGCGTTGACGGAAGACGATTTCGGGCATTCGACTCTCAACCGGTGGAATGTCTGGCGGCACTTTTCCTTGGGAATCTAAAGTAGAGTTTGCTGCGAACATCTCTGCAAAGATATTGTTTTCTCCTGCGATGTTGTTGCTAATGTGCCGTCGGATTTGGACAGTGGTGGGAATGAACTATTAGTGAAATTTCTTCCGACCGCTTTAGCAAGGGACCAAAACGAACGGGAGCCATTGGGACAATCTATGAGTTTCGATCTTATCTTGGCATTGTATGTTTCTTTCGAAGCATCTATTGTTTGGCTGCAGTTATTCCTGGCATCAACGTATTCTGCTCTAGTCGCGAGGTTAGGGTTTTTGCGCCAGCGATGGTAGGCTGTTTGTTTCAAGGCAACAATTCTAGAACAGAACGAAACAGTCCAACTTTCATGCAACCACATTTCTTTTTACAGTTGAAGAATCGTGTTTAGTACTTTTTCCGGCACAGATGGAAATAGAGTTTGAACTGGTTCTAATGTATCATCGACCAACTTCCAACCTCAGTCTTTTGGGTCTAGCTGATAACCAAGCCACACTTGAACTTGTGTATAGATTTAGAACCATCATCGAATTTTGTAAAGATTCGATATCACGTCGACCTAGATAGGTTTCAACCGGAAATTCGCAATTTTTCAATTCTACAGGAGGAAAATGGCAACTTGAACATTTTATCTTTCACTTCTATGAGACAAGGTAATATTTCCAAGGAATATGTTGATGAGCAGCCGCTGAAGTTGGAGGATGACAAGCTAACTGAATTTGTTTTTTATTTCGAGCATTTTTGACGAAACATAATACATATTCATGCATGCAAGCTTATCTTAACACGTAGTTTTTTTAGGAGCTCCGTACATAGAGGAAAGAAAGTGAATTCTGTTAGTGATTACTTCTTGTGAAGTTGAATCACCTACTCTTTCTAAAAACTTCAGCACATCGAATTATATCTTGTTCTTCGAACATTTGGAAAAAAGTTGATTTACCCTTCCTGAAAAATTCAATAATTGAGTATAAAAATGGTACATGATTCTCATACTTCGCAAAAATAGATTGACTGATGAATATAGTTATTACCGATTGATGGGGAGCTTCTCCACGCTGAAAAAATAATTTTCCAGATTGGAGTTGGGGCACAGAGTATAATACGTGTAAGTCTTTATCTCCACCTACAATAATAATTGCATTTGATGAATTGAATTGCTTTATTGCCGTTGCTTGTTGATCTTCGAGCTTCGAGTTGACTTTCGAGCCGTAGGGGAGAAGTTTTGAATCAATGTTATGACCGATATTGAAGCAGAAAGCTGAAGTATGTCAATCGACGAATATTTTCAGGAAAAATAGCATCATGAGTTGTATTCGTATGAATATTTCATGATTGAGACAATGAACTAGAGCCTCGCGGGAGTTGCGCACACTGCATCCATTATTCTGGCTTCCAACATAATTGACGTTATAAACGTCAAAAATTTTGTCGCAGTTAAACGAGGTTGGTTGATCAAGTGTGGATCAATTCGGCTTCTGTATCGACTGAAAAAGCTAAATATAGGGAGAGAAAACAATTTCGAAATTTTAAGGCTCTGTAGCTCGGTAACGAAGCGTTTGCAGACATATGTTTGAAGAACGAAAGGCTCATCTTGACCAGAATAATAAGTTCCTGAAATCTTGAAACTGAATTTTAATACACAGTGTATAGCCGATGATACCTATGAATAAAATTTAAACTGATATAAAAACATTAAGGATATTTCTGAGCACAAAGACTATAGGTATTCAACATATTTTTTCCTCGAAAAATTAATTTATAGCGAAAACAGAATAGATATCCTCCACTTGTTTCGACCATCAGTTTAATTTTGCATTCAAAGGCAAATGGCCGACAAATACTCCCAATTCTCCCATGCACTGTAAATCACGCGGAGTGTAGGAAAGTGCATGTTTCACTTTTCATGGAGAGGAAAGTGTTTCACTTTTCATGGAGAAGACAGAACCGGCATACATTGTTTTGCCATAAACATAATTTGTAGAATATATTTCTCTAGTTAAATATTTATCAAAACACTCTTATTTAGATTTTTGAATCAATCTAGTTATTTTTTATTTCTTAATTTTTTCATACTACTCTCATTCATTTTCCACTTACTTCGTTTCAGTTTGGAGCTTATTAAAAGCGTGTTCAATTTGTTTTTCATGTCTATTCACTATTTATCACAATAGCTGACCAGGCAATCGTTATTTCGCTATACGTTTATTTCTAAAAAATATTCTTCTACTCAAATATTTATCAACACACTTTTATTTTTTTTTCCACTTCTTTCAGTTTAGCTATCCAATGAAACGTGTCTTTGCAGTTTTTCAAGCTACTATTTATTTTGTACTTCTTTTTAGTTCGACAATCTATCTCATTAGTATTTCAAACTATACTTTCTATTTCTATTCAATTTTGCCCCAAATTTGTCAACCTATAATGGTTATTTATACACCAAGGTAGTGAAGAATATCATCATTACCCAGGGACCAAGATGATATCACGAGGCGTCAGCCGAGTGGTATAAGTGGTTATAATATTCAAATTCGAATGACAATATATTATGGAATTTTTGTTAAAATTGAAAAAAAATGGCTGCTCCAACATGGCGGACAAGATGTGGTCCGATTCCATTCAAAATTGGTGAGTGGGGGTTTTTGAGGTCGGAGATCATGATTTTTTTGTTAAAATTTATAAATTCAAGATGACGGCTTCCAAATGATTTTTTGTTTTTGTATAAATGACGATAACTCCGTTGTTATCAACACGAAGCTATTTCTGCGACATATCATCTGTGAGAGAAAAAAAAGTTATTTGTAACTTAGTCATAGTGAGCTATGACCTACATTTGAAAAACTAAAGTTGGTGCTGATATCTCAAATTCTAGAAGAGTTGGTATAAATTTCATATTTTTTTCGAAATCACTTTGAAAACCAGCCATGAGAATGTGAAATTCCTATTTGGATATTTTCATGAATAAAGAAGTTACGGAGGAGACATGAAAATGATCAAAATCTGTTTTTTGCGTATAAAACAAAAACGAATAGATTTTATCAAGATATTTTTTCAAATTATAGTTGGCCTTGACAAACTCCACATTTGGTGTCATTCAACCGACCTCGTATCTCTTACCGTTGAAAAGATACCCATGGTGAGCATGGTAAGTGGGACACACTGTATATTGAATTTTTCTCACCACTAGCAATATATTATGTCAAACATTTTAGTTCTGTGGAACCGAAATATGGACCTATTATCACTATGAAAGCACTTATTTGTTATAGGTACCTACTAGATTCCACTGCCATGCATTCCTGCGAATCTCTGCAGAACAATACATTCGGGTTAATTACAACAGAGGGGGCTATGTCTTTATTGACTATTGGTTCATACAATGACGAAAACTACCTAGGTATAATAAAAACCCTCTTACGCTTTCATAGCTATTGGTGGAAAGAAGCGTGTTTTATTATAGTTTTTCAAACTACTAATTATTACAAAGCTCGTCAGCCATATTGGATCCAGCATATTGATTTCCCCAATTTTGAAGAACAAATCATAATTTCCGACCACAAAACCCCCCAGACACGAATTTTGAATAAAATCGGACCATAATTACAAAAACTCGTCTGCCATATTGAATCCGACATCTTGAATTTTCATTTGACGACCGATTCTCAGACCAACCGAATATGTACGAATATTTTCATAAGGAGGAGGAGTTTAGCAACAAATACCGTGACAGGGACAGGACAATTTTATATATTATATTACTTTTTCAGATGAATCCTCAGCATACAATTCCAGTTCTTGATGATGACGGTTTCATTTTGCCAGATAGTCACGCCATCATGCCATATCTGGTGTCGAAATATGGCAAGGATAAGACTCTTTACCCTACTGATTTACGAGAAAGGGCCATAGTAGACCATCGTTTGCACTTTGATAGCAGCATTCTTTTCAACAGGGGACTCATAATTTCAGTGAGTGGTACTCATTTTACGATACTGATAAACTACACCTTTTCGAATTTTATTTCGAAAATGGTTAATTATATTCGCAAATATGCTTCAATTGAATTTCTAATGAATCATTTCGATTTCAAGAATCAAATAATGTATTTCGATTTTGTCAAATTTCTTTCAAAAACTAATAACACTTCAAATTACTTCAAATTTCAAATTAGTCATTTGTATTTCCAAAAATATCGAAACGTATTTCGTACTGCAACATTTTAATTTCAAAACTTAGAAAGCACAGGCAAAGGTAAGATGGGTGTTAGGTCATATTTTCATTCACCCTGTTGTTGCGTCATCATTTTTTGATGTAATTATAACCTGTAATTAACCTGTAATTATATAATTCGAGACGCATGAATTTGAAAGACAATAATTGTGCTTTAGCGTTAAAAGATATGCCTGTTGGACGATGACTTTGACCTAAGTATAATCAGATATCACATCTGAATTGTAATAGACTGATTCTCTAATAAAGATGATTAAATTTGAATTTGAAATGATGGATTTTGACATTGAAACATAATTTTTTGGAATAAAAATGACTTATTATACAATTGATTCATTCTGAAATTGAGTTGATGATTTTGAACTACATTTGATACTTTTTGAAATTAAATGACAAATCTGGAAGAATTCGGCAAATTTTGAAATTGAATTGAAAATTTCGACAATCAAAGGACTGTGTTTTGCGTTGTTACCATAGCAACATAACACATTTCTAGAAATTTTTTCCTTCTCCTTGGGAAAAGGAGCATGAAATTACACAGACCATTCTTTGAAGTTTATAGGTGAAGTGACATTTACATTCAACTGCAGATTACATCGAATTTATTCAATATGTGGATGAAAATAGTATATTGTGCAACAAGTGGGAAAAGTTCAACTTTTCTCACGAGTGTGGAAGTTTGTGGCACGAGCCTGAAAGGCGAGTGCCGCAAACACACGAGTGAGGAAAGTACTTTTCCCCACATGTTGCACACTATACTTTTTCTACGACTGCACATATTCAAAGAACAATGTAACTCAATTTTTATTTTTTATGGGTTATAGCAGAACTAAAATAACATAACATAATAACAAGTTTCCTACCTCTTAACAGTTGAATTATTCATTTGAAATTATAGTTAATTGTGAAATTCTTACAATTTTGTATGGTCAAACCAGGAAAGTTTTTGAGTAAATTTTCTGTTATATTAATTGTAGAAGTAGAAGTTGAAGGTTGATTATTTATGTACAGTGGTGCATTTTCTGTCTCCATTTCAGTGAATAGTTCTACTGGTTTTTCAATAGAGTCGACGATTTTATTTGCAACGTCCATTTTATTTTTAATAGAGTCTCCGACGTATCCTTCTGCCACGGTACTGGATTGCCATCCTCCATGGCGCTTTAAGGTTAATATGTCACCTCCTGCATTTACTAAAATTGTTGCCGAAGAACGTCTGAAGCAGTGTCCTGTATATAAATGGGGATTTTCCAATTTTAAAAAAATTGCAATTCTCTTTGCCATACTACCAAATTTGTTGATGCCGACTACTTGTCTAGTACATTTTCCGTTCTGGTAATTCAAGAAGAAACGTTTTTCTGCCAAATCATTCGGTCGAAGAGCGGCATATTTTTTATATATATTATAAAATTCCCCCGTTACAGTGAAAGTTCTTGGCTTCTTTGTTTTGGTGTTATCTAATTTCACCAACAAAGCCGAATTTAGATCCTCTAAATCATCGACTTTTAATTTCCACAGTTCATCTCTACGACATGCCCCTGCTACGCCAATAGCCACTGCAACCTACAAATAAAAATATCAGGATGTAAAATCATTTATATAATTAAAAAAATATATCATCCCTGGCCGGGTATTGAACCCCGGGCCGCTAGTATCCTAAGCGGAAGCACTACCACTACACCACGGAGTAGTTATTAAAATATTTATTCATAGGCATATACTCATCTTCCACAATATGAAATTGACTTTTTGAAGATTATCTAATTATTTTTACCTACTGAATACACCCACTAACTATAAAAAGCTGTTAATTCGAGGAAAAAAGCGGAAGAAATTCGAAAAATAGTTCAATTTAAATAATAAACCCACCTTTATTAGTAGATATTCCTTGTTTGGAGCTTCTTTTAAAAATCTCTGCAATTGGTCGGCTGTTAATATGTTTGATTTCTTTGGGAAGTAATTGTCAGACTTTCTTTTCAAAAATGCACGTAATTTTTGATACGTGGATATATCAATGTTATGTTTAATACTGATGGTACTTTTCAACATCGAATATTGTGACCAAAGTGTTGACGCCTTCAAAGTTTTCGACATTTCTTCGAAGTATACCAAAAGTACACTTTCCGAAAACGATTTTATTTTCGTATTTCTTCTCCATTCCATGAATTTCCCATATGCCAATTCATACTTCTTTCGGGAAATTTCCGGCAACAAATCTAATGTTACTTTTGCCGCTTGTTCCAATATTTCTGGTGGAGTATTGTCAAAATCGTCACTGCTTTCATAAGTTTCCATATTATTTACCTATCACTGGTACAAATATGTATATTATGTCTTACTAATATTCAATGAAATTGCGATTTTTTATCGAAACACGATTGATAACTACCTCAAAAATTGAAATAAATTCTGTTGACAGTTGTTCGTGACAACAGCGGCCAACTAAGTTTTTGTCGATTTTAGTTGATTCTCCATATAAAAGGTACCTACTATGCGTGGTGTTGGCAAAGTGCTGTGAGAAATAATATTTCTCACAGGTATGAGCAATTCGTGGTTTTGAAATTGAGTAAGCCATGAGAATTACGCTACTTTTCATAGCAGTCGTAGAAAAAATATATTTCCATCAATGTTAGCTTAATGAATTTGTGAAAAAACAGAGTCTTTGAGGTATTATCGGCTGATTTTTCATTATTCTATTCAACTAAAGTCGCTCAATTATATTTCATTTGACCCAATAATATTGAGTGAGCAAATTTCATTGATACTAAATAGTACTCCGAGTCTAATCAAGAACAAGCTGAATTTGTCTCAACATGTCAAGATGTTTTTGGATGTATGACAATTAATAGATATTCGTCATACTCCTGTACGGAATAACATTCTGGAATGAGAAAACCCAATCACGAGTCTGCGATTATAGAGGTCGGTAAAAATATCAAGTTTCCATCGTTCAAGTTTGAACCCCTTCAGAAGATTTTATTTCAAAATTCTAAGTAGTTCTTGTCTGTTGAATAAACCGAGAAGAAATTGATATTTCCATCACATAGAGAATGCGAATTCTCAATGTATTTCTTTATACAGGGTGATCCCCGGTGGATGGCCTATTAGGGATTTCTGGAGCACGAAAGGACAGAACATTCTGAAAATCGGGATGCTTCGATAATTGAACATTCTCTATCCGTATAGAATATTTTCATCGATACAGAGTTGCCACTTCTATCAGAAACAACTAGCAACTTCGTTATTTCAAATGAAGCACCCTGTATTCCATTGCATTTTAAGATTCTTCCTGAAGAACTGATTTCATCAATGTATCATACTTGGGGTCTAGCAGCAATGATTACAGAGATATAGTGAGTTCAAAATCCAGATTTTTAATTTTGTGATTTTTTTGTGTCGAAACTATTCAATATCGATCAAAATCGCTTACATGTCCCTATCTAAACTTTCGATTCACTATCTACTGACATTTAATTGGAACAGATACAGGGTGATCAGAATTCTGAATCTTGAAGCACTCTGATGTATTTTTTCCAATTAAATTCCAGTAGATAGTGAATCAATAGTTAAGATAGGGACACTTGAGCTGTTTTGATCGATAATGAATAGTTTCGACACAAAAAAATCTCGATTTTGAACACCCTATATCTCTGTAATCATTCCTTCTAGACCCCAAGTGTGATACATAGATGAAATCAACTCTTCAGGAAAAATCTAGAATTGTCATAAAATATAGAGACTTAAGTAGCACACATATATTGGGACAATATCGGTGCAATATTACGAAAATATCGGCAAAATATTGTGAAAGTGAGAAAAAAAATGTGAACATTCGGCAATATTGGTACAATATCAGTTTCCAAATGTGAGTAGAATATTCTCATATCAATATTGGTTGAATATTCAAGGAGTTATATTGGTCACAAGATGTAATATCAATATTGGCGAGAAATTTATGGTGAACATTCGGCAATATTATATGGAAATGTAATGAACGCGAAGACTCGACCAAAAATAGCATAACAAATACTAATGCTAGACACTTCACACTTATAGGAAGTAGAAGGTCGTTTTAATTAGGTCAATAAATATTTAGGTATCTGAACTCGAATGCATTCAATAAGTATTAGAAGGATAGATTGATAGAGCAATATTATTACGTGAATTAACTCTTGTTGGAAATATGAATATTTGTTTCAAATACCAAGAAATGCATATATGTAATAGGTTTATTATTAGGTACTTTACCTTTGTAACATTGTTGATAGTGGCACACAGGAACAGCGAAAAAGATGTGTATAAAAGTTAGAAAAGAGTGTACAGGGAATTCATAACCTAAGTAACTGAGCCACAGCAGAGGGGCGGGCCAAAGATAGGTAGAGGCCAGATGAATTATTACAAAAATCAATTAGTTTAAAATCTTTTCAGATGAACATTGAAATCCTTTTTCTGTACTTAATTTTAAGTAATACCCAAGGTCAACTGACATCGATTTTTGCAAAATGATTTATGCTAAAAATCCATTAGATTAAAAACTATTTCTAAAAACATCCGAAGCCACTCTTTTTGCACTTTAATTCGAGGTCAATTCAACTAAGCGAAAATCTAATGAATTCTGATTAAATTTATGACCAAATCTCAGTATAAAAGCAGGGAATTTTGGCATAAAAGGAAGTCTTGATCTCAGTCTTGATCGAACTCTTGATACGAAGTCTCATGTCTTGAACCAGTAACTCTGCTA